AAGTAAAATGTCCAGAACATGTCAGAGTGAGTCCATGTAAGAATCTAACAAAACTCCACCAACATAAATCCTTGTCTTGGAACCTCACTTTAAATATTTTCAGAAAGAGGATTAAATGTTGGCGCCTGAACCCACCTTGTCTGTCTGTCTGTCTCAGTGTGTGACAGGAGGCAGAAACAAGCTCAGCACCACACGCAAGGAAACATTTGATCGCTGCCCCAGCTGTGCCTCCAGCTTTGTATTATTCCAGTGACCCAACCTGAAATAGCACTGCAGTGGCAGTTCATTTATTAAAGTCAAGCCCCCAGTTTCTGTCTATGCTTGGGTGTGACACACACACACACACACACACACACACACACACACACACACACACACACACACACACACACACGTGTAAGGGGGTGTTTCCCACCTCTTTAAATACAAGCGTCAGGATTCCCAGTTCTATTTTTGGGCTGTGCACTGACCTGCTGTCTGTGTCTTTTGTTGTGTCACTGCTCTCACTGGCCACAGATTCCTGCTGAATGAGTGTGACGCCTGGTTCATAAGTCATGCTACAGTGGGCTTACTCACTTACTGTGAGGCTGCTGCATTCCCTCACCTTATACAAAGATCCCCTCTGCTAACATCACAAAATCTATACATTTAAAGGAAAACAGCAAAGGATGTTCCGACTGTCAAGTGATCAAAGAGAAGCCTGAACCCACCGTACCTGATTTTTATGACTATTCAGAAGGATCAGGATGTTAAATGCTAATTGTAATCATTGGCAGAACATGGCAATGATTATTTCTTTATTATTATTATTTCTATCAACATATCAACTATGTTCATAAATCACATTTACCATGTGCAGTATATATGAATAAAAAAAATACATATAAGCTTTTATAAACTACATATGAACAAATATTTACATCTTGGGAAATATATAACATAATATTATATAATAATATAATATAATATAGGGCGCAGCACCCCCCTGACCCTCCAAGGATAAGTGTTAAAGATAATGGATTGATGGATAACACAACATAAAATAAATGGTCTGTATAATATAGCCCCTTCTTGTCTTGTGACCACTTTTCACACTTTTCCAGTACTGTTTTGCCGTTCACCAATTCATCTATGTGCAGCACACTTCACTCACACTACCTGGGCAAGGACACTTCGGCACGCATAATGGAGTAGCCAGGGATCAAACCTCCGACCATCTGGCCGACCAGCCGAAGTTATATAAATACATGAGTAACCATTAAGTCGTTATTCATTTTTTGCAAATGTTTGATCCTTTCCATATTACTATAATTTCGATAGTTCAATACCCTCTATCTATCTATACTCAGTATATGTGTGTAGTCCATGTGAGGCAACAGACCCATTCCCTCTCCCCCATTCTGTCTCTCTCTCTCTCTCTCTCTCGGAGTCCCTGCAGGCTCGTGGCTTAAGCGTCGCCGTGATTTGTTTAATGAAGTGCCAAGCTGCAGTGGGTCATGCTTCCTCTCAGCACAGATACACAGTGACACCAGGGATATGCTTGGGTTCATCTCAGGAAGGCCTGGACTGTGCGGAGCCACCGTGGGAATAGCACACCCAGATCCCAGCAAAAACATTTACAGCACGACTGCGGTAAATTGACAGAAAGCGCAATTATCCATATTGATGAAGAGGCATGGCCGCACAATGCATCATCTAGGTAGCAACAGGTTTGTCTAACATCGAAGGCGAAAAAGAAAATATTCAAACGTACATTTGTTTGCTTTTCTTGCAAGGAAACATGGACGGACATGCACGCATGCTACACTATACAGGACAATTTGTGAGAGTTTGTCCGTTGTTGATTTGATTTTTTTTTTTTTTAACTGGTGTTCATTTATGACTCGTATATTGTGTGATAAATCACAGCATCCGAGTGGGGACAGTTTCATGACATCATTCACGCTACATTTCCAACCGTGAGCCAGTTTTTGATTGGGGCTGTAAATCTCCTTTACCTTTCTCTGTCTAACACACACACAGTGACAAATGTTCACAAAAGTAAAACAACTCTCTGTGTCTATTCAGATCCATATGTACATTTCCTGAATTAGTGAGACTGGTTGTAGACTGTGCTGCCTTTTGTTTTTCCAAATTTTGTTTAAAGCAAGTTGTTTGGCAGAAATGTTCAGAAACATCCAGATATAAAAACAAATTCATGATCGTAGCTGAGACTACAGTCTGATACAGATTGACTCCAATGCATCTAGGAGATGTGAGAAAACTGCCTCAGCTTGCATCATAAGATAGTCAGCAATGTGGGACTGTCAGAGGGTTAAAGTTTAGCTTCTTGTTTTTGTAGATTCTCATTTGCCCTAAAGAACACAACATTAAAACAGATAAAATGCACGTTTATGGTTTCTTGAATGGACACAAACTGCAGATGCACTTCTGGTACCTTCCAGACAGTAGAGCCCCTTTATCACTGGTCAAAACACCCACTAACATCCGGCTTTTGTCTGCAATGGGACTGGATACAATTGGATGACTCTCCAGTACAGATTCAGCTCTGATAGAAACATGACACCAGGGTGAAAGTGCTAATTGTGTTCTTCATTGTGGCAGTTTAAGCTAATGCTAAGTCTTCTGGTCAGAACGTTTGTGTACTTTTTGGTTAACTCAGGTAAACTCCTGTACTGGCAATGGGAAAGGAGCACATTTTCAGCAGGTTTACTGGATATACGCACTCATTTTGTTGTGAAAGAGGTATGAGAAAAAGAGCTCTTTGTTGCTTTGTGTTAGGCTGAACAACATGTAAAAGTCAAAATAGAGAGATAAATAAACAGTGATAAACAGTGCATACATATAATGCACGGGACAGTTTAGTGTGTGGACAGTCTGTAGCAAACTGGGATTACTGTAAGAGTTTGTCTTTAAAGAGTGTTACAAGGCTCGTTTTTATGTTCCACTGTTATACACTGGTATGGATTTCACCTAACATTTATAATAGAGATTGTATGAATGCTACTGGCTTGTATTGACCCTCTGTGATAAACAGGGTTATCCAAAGATTTCTCAAAATATTAAAAACACCTCTCATCTACAACTACAAGTTAGTTGTATTAGACTGTATTAGTCTTAATCTAATAAACTAGCAGATCAGTGCATTTGCAAGGTCATGCACTTTGCCATACCGTACCAGGGAGACGTTAAAACAAATATCAGCTTCATCCCGCCTCATTTGTAGGAAGGAGCGATCAGATGCTCCTATCTAGTCATAGGACAGAAATTTTGGTCGACCGCCTTCAGCAAAGTTAAAGCATAGACATAAAGTCAATTCCCAAAACACAGCACATTGTTATCCTGCTGTGCCCATACAAAGTGGCAGTAGGCTGGCCGAAACTAAATGCCTGTTCAATGTTTCCTCCCCCTTCAATGACAACCAACAAACTAAAGAGAAATGTCAATGCGTCTATTTTGAGGTCTTGGGAAACAGAACGGCACAAATAGTCAAGAAGGCATGTTTCTTCCTTGTTAGCATTGTGTGAGCTGGATTTTATCAACAGTATTTCTAAAATCTCACAGAGTATGCCCAGTTTAAACGGATCAATTATTGCATTTCATCCCTCACACATCAAAGAAATCCCATTGCCATAAATGGTTTTACCTCTCATGATTTTTGATTGCGCTGATTATAATAAACGATAATATGATGAAAATAACAGTAGAACTTCAATAGTGAATGGGATCATTAAAGGAGTGTAATTGAGAACATCAAGTCAAACTTCAAGCCAGGATTTTATTTTCACTGTAATTAAACCACTCAAACTAAAAAAATACCATCAGCCAAATTTGATCGCTTTGGTCGCCTTTTGGATGTAGAGCTTTGTAAGTGTACCAGACAGAGAGTTTGCTGCAAAACGTCATGGTTTTCGTCTAAAACTGGATTCATGAAGTCTGTAAATGTGGCTGTTTTAGAACCGGGTGATTATTTCCATTGCCAGGTCAGATCTTCAGCTCCATTTAGATTTGCAGGAGGTTTTAAACGAGAGTGAGCAGTGTTGGACTCATTGAGGGGTTGACACAGGGGTGTTGGAGGATACTGCCGCATGAAATCATTTCATCATTACACTGTCACAGGGAGAGGTATTTTCCCGTGTCTTTCATGTCGGAGGAGAGGAGGTGTGAGGGGAGGGAGGATGAATTAATATACAGCCCACATGAGACACTGGTGTTTGGTCGAAATGTTCAAAATCGCTGAGAATCCACACTTGCCACATCGTCGCCACAACCATGTGTTTGTGGACAGAATATGTTAATGTTCCTCTTGCTATAAATTTCATGAAAGGTTTCCCCTCGTGTTACGAAAATGACTGTGAAACTTATAATTCACCCAATTATGGTTATTCCTCCATATTACCCTTGCCCTGTTTCGTCTCTCTCTCATTACTCTTAGAAAAACACATAAATCAGGAACGTATACACCGTACCCCGGGAACACAATGCACTGGGGGATACCCCTTAACTATCCTCACACGTCTCAAATTCAAATTTCTACTGACATTCCAGTTCCCCAATCCTCAGCTCGGGTGTCAGAAAATAACCCGCTCGCCCCTGCATTATTCCCGCTTTAAAGGTAAACAGAGCGACGAGCAGGTGGTTGTGGGGGGATTTCTGCACTGACTTGGATGTAATGTCTGGTGGCAATTAGGTGTAATACAGGATGTCAAAGCCTGCAGCCGCTAGCCTCAGATATCTGCTGCCTAATGTTAGCTTTACAGATTCACTCTGGCATATGGATTTGACTGCACAGCCCAGGGCCAAATTAGTGAAAGCTATTACCTCCTTTCCCTCTGTGGCAAAGGGCACAGCAAAGAAATAAACATGGCAAATCTCAACTTGAAAATAAAGGCCCTGCCTGAATCAGATGCAGCACTGGGAATAGCTGTTTTTTTGTACAGTAATGGGGTTTTCTTTGCCTTATCTGAGGTGCACACTCATTGCTATGAACAAAAACATACCTCATTGCATTGTGGACTGAGGCGTCTCCCCGAAGCTTTATCTTCTATCCCAGCAAGCCGAGTGCAGAGATCTCCAGCGCAGGGGAGTGGTGGTGCTTGTGCAGTAATCAGATCTGCGATATCCTTAGAAAGGTTGCAGTAGTCCGGGCCAGTTCAACGCAGCACAGATGGAGAAGGGTGGAATACGCGATTAGAGCGTCCTTGAGAAGTGCAGAGGTGGGCAACAAAGTGCTGAGAGGGGAGAACAGAATAACATGTTGGCATTTTGTGCAGAGGAAGTTAAACAAAATAAGAAGCCAAGTAAATACTGATGATACAGATCAGCTCATTATTGACATAGAAATACAAGTATGTTACATGGAATATGAAGCACTGCGGCGGCTATGAACCTGTGTCTGTCTCTTTAGAGGATTTCTTGATATATCGTGTGGTGGCCAAACTGGTGCCTGTCACTTACATTGAAATTTTATGCCATTTAAAATTTCTAAACAAAACTCAGATTAGATTAGATTTGTGTTAAATACAGAAAACTGTGCATTTAAGAGATATTGCTGTTATATTCATACATATATAGAGACAGTCCACTGTCACTTTTTACTATCTCCATCAATAAGGTTACGTTATTGTTTTCATCTGCATATCTTTGATCTTTAGTTAGCAGGATTACGCAAAACCTACTGATTTCCACAAACTTTTGGAGGAGTGGCACATGGGCCAAAGACTTTCTTTGCATGGTGAGATCAAGCCTTGAGGTGTGCACTCTTCAAACGCACCTTTAGTTTGAAATTTGAACAATTTTTGAAATATGTGTGTGAAAATCAGTCTGAATTCTTAACATCAGGTCAAGTTCCCCGAGCAAAACAAACTATTGATGTCTTTGTTAGGGATAAAGGCAGGAAATTAGCAAGCTAGTCTGAACGAACAGGAGACCATCCACCCATATACAATGACCACACAAGTCATTTGTGCACGCAGCTTATTACATCTTCTAGTTTTGCTTTACTGTTAAGCGACCTCAAGTCGTCATGTTTAGGTTCAGGTGAATCCCCCAGAGGGATTGACTGGAGCAACATCCACACACGCATCCCTTTTCAATATTCCCAGACACCTCCAGACATGGCTGGTTCATATTAGTATTTTGCTTTCACATTCAATTTTAGTTGTGCGTAATGTCAGACAACAAGATCTACCCTATCAAATGTAATGGTGAAAAATCTGCAGCTCCTTCATGTACAATACAACAACATGAGTGAAACAGAGTGTGCACTCCCCTGGATATATAAAGGGATTTAAGAAAAATCAACTAAGCTTGCGGTGAATCATTACCACACTTTCCTTTACTCCCTGCACCTACACTCTATCATTTAGAGATTAGAAATAGTCAGACCACAATTTTCATCAATTTCCATCGGGGCCTATAGTGCAGGTCACAGGAAAACAGTCGAGCATAGATGGTTCTGAAACACAGGAAGTGTTACAGCATTAAATCTGACAGGCAGAGCAGCAGTCGCCATTTAATCCACAGCTTCACTCCAGTCTATATCTTTACAAACCTCTTCCCAAAGCTGATGGCGTCCATTTACACACGCTCATATTACATCCTGTCTGTGGCTGCAGGTCAATGCATTGGTCCAATCAGGAAACACTGTACCTTCATCGTGTCTTTCTGAAAAAGGCTATTCACTGATATTAATCCCGGCTTGCAATTTTTACTGAGGCTTATTGGTTTTAGCGGTGATCAAGCTCATTTCATTGAAGCCACGAGGACGTTCAATGGGTACTGAAGAGGAACATTTACAGAAAGCAGTCAGTCAAACTGCAGCACATTTTAAGTTTACCATATTCAGCAGATACTGTATTTCTCTCTAGCAAGACCTGCTGTAATAGAGCAGTAGGCGTGTGAAATGTCAAAAGTTATTCTCTGTATTTTCATATTTTTGGCGAATGTCCTCATTATGCAGTTTCTCTAAGGGCGCTTTCACACCTATACCTGGTTTGGTTCAGACTTCTCAGTTTAGTCTGAACTAAAACAACAGATGTGAAAAGTGCCTCAGACCATGGTCAACACCAACGAACCAAAACTAAGTCCGACCAAAAGAGGTGGTTTCAGTCAGGATCAAGGTGAACCAGACTTTTAGACCAATTGCAGCAAGTTGAGACAGCATTAAACAACAACAGAAGAAGAAAAGAAACAAAATTGTTTGCAGTGTTCATCTTAAATGATATAATGTTTGAACGATGAGGACGTTCATTTGCTACAAACATTCTACTTCCCCTCAAAATAACAGCACACAAACATCTAACACTCCCCTGTCTACAAACCAATCAATGCCAGATACAGATATCACAAAATTCTTTAATGTGCCCCCTAAATTACAATGTAACACCAAAACTCAAAGAATCAAATATAAACAATGCAATAAAGACAGGTCCGGACTAACAGGTGTTAAAACGTCACAAATCCCAGATGATTGTTGCAATTAAAAATGCATCACTGTGCAGTCTGCACACGAGTCACCAAATAACTTAGGTAAACAACCAATGTAGTACATATTCATCAGCCTGCAGATATCTGACCCTTTAATGCCCTGTTTTATGCAAATCCAAAATAAATATGTGCCCTTTATCCTTCTTGTGACACTCTGCACTGTATATATGCAGTATATGTAGTCTATTGTATGCTTGTGACCATTCCTGAGTCAGTCTGCACTGAAATTATCTCCAGAAACTTTTACCATTATATTTTCCTCTAGGATATGAATGACCTGTATGTTACACATCCAATAAAGTGAATTTAGCAAAGCACACAGGTTAACTGTCACATCCAGGCATGACTTCCACACAAATCCACACTGTCTGCAGCTACTGGCCGGGGTTTATGAAGGTTCCATAGCTCCAGACAGATAACGATCTGATCTCATATAAACACTTGCGTAAATCCATTCAGAGACCGGTTATACAGCCACCAACCAAACAACAAGGCCACTGAACCAGAGCCTTCGGGAGCTGCAGCGCGAAATCCACCGAAACATCTGTGTGGCACTCAAAAGTAATGGAAAGACATTTGGGGAGCGACCCAAACCACAGGAGGAAGTTGCGTGTCGACGTTCTCCCATACGTGAAAACGCCAAAGCGTTTGCCAGGTGTCAGCACCAATCGTCGTGAACAGCAGTCGCGGGGCACAGGGTTTCATTTGACATCGCCACGCCCCTTGAACCCGCCGCGTGAAAGTGATTCGTCGCACCCGCAGGTACGGTAGAGAGGCATCAGTGCAGACACACGCAAGCTGCTGACCGAGCAACTCTGTGAGAAAACTCAGTTCACCTGGTCCCCACTGTATATTACAGAATACAACATAATATAACTTGTGTGTTTGCTACCTACAGGCACAGTTCGTCATTGCGAACACATGAATACACAGGAGGTGAGTGTGTGTGTGTGTGTGTGTATCAGTGTGAGGGTTTTATGGTCTTCAAAGCAAGATCAAAAGATAACTCTGCACACGAACAATGATCTGTCTCCATGTGACTAATAGCAACATGTGTTTATGTCTAGTATATGAATGTAAAATGAAGGCAGCTAGCTTATACTGTATTTCCTCCTCCCCATTATTGCAGCGACTTGGAAAAAAGCTTTGCTTCATGTGGACTGTCCATCATGAAAAAGATGGTTACATAAAGGGCCTGTCATTCTTTTAATTTAAATCCCTGCAAGAATAAATGTTTTTCCCAATATGTTACACTACTGCTGTAAAAGCACCACACTATTCCACAGTTGTTCTTTAACCAGCATGCATTAAAGAGCTGCTAACACTAATACAGTTTCCTCAAGGTTTACTGTCCCATAGGTGCTGTTCCAGGGGCTGAGACACCCCAGCAAGAATAATCTCCAAATCCTCAAACGCACATTTTCGTCCTTGCATCTGCTCAAATGTGTGTATGCAGAAAGAACACCAACAAGCTGGCATGGACTGAACACCTTAAATATTCTCATCCAGTGGACAAATTGTACACCTTCGCCCCCCCCGCACCCCTCCTACTGAGACAAATTGAGTGAAGGCAGAGCAACATTTTACTGCTTTGTTTCTTTAAAACATACGGAGAGGGCCATTAATGTGAGACCGCATCATGAAAATGGATGGAATAGAAAAGGAGTTCTATGCCCACTTGCCCACGTCTGTATTATGAGACCAGACAGAGGGTATTTCAAATAAATACAGGATGCCACAGAAATGTACACTTCCCTCGAGAGGACCGGGGGCCGGGACTGGATCTGCACACCTAAACACTATATTCATTATGCCCGGGCCTCATAAAGTGATTACATTAGAGCTCGATGATTGGGACGAATTCGCTGCCAGGGAGAACTTTCCAAACAAGAAACGAGTCGGCCTTAATGGATCGCTCGCTCCCTCGTTCTATTTTATCACTCTCAAACACCCAATTTCATTGTCAGTGTTGCTCTTTCACTCAAACACTCACTTTCCGTCACTCGCTCTGTCTCCATTACCAAAGTGCCAGGGTGCAGTTTGCAAAGCTGTATGACGTTTGCCCAGGTGCCACATGGAAGGTCAAATAATGCAGGAAAAATCGCCCCCTGTATGTGCTTATGATGTTCTTGTTAATCTGTGATGTTTGGAGCATTCCGACACTTATTTTGTGATGAAGTGTTGTAATTTACATCTTTTCCGTCAGCTTACTATTCTGTTTTCGCAGTGAGGTTGAAGTTATCCGTGTGGGGTGACCATCATTTCTGACTCCATGTTAGTTCCAACCGGAAGAAAAATTGCTTGGAAAATATGAAGTTTTGCTTTTAACAGTTGGCAGTTACAAGATACAGTTGGTAAAGAAATTCATTTTGTTTTATGATACAGTATTTTGGCTTTTCCGTGCTATGTTGTAACGCTCAAGACGAAACAGTCTGTGGAGTTGTAAATGTGAAACAGGTGCAGTGTAAATGTTAAATGGACTGTACTTATGCAGCAATTTTCTAGTCGACCGCTCAAAGCGATTTACAGTACATTCATCAATGTACTGTTCATTTATCAATTCACACAAGACCCAATTGAATAGACATTCTGGTGAGTTTGCCTTTCAAACATTAAGAACAGACACAATTACATTTACACAGAAATATCTGGGGCGTTCAGGTTATGGGTGGCGCAGGAGACAGGACGTAACGTCTAAAATCCGCTGCGACCCTCATCACCAAAAGATTGTGAATCTCATTAT